GCCCGGGCAGCTGCGGCCGCAAACAAAGCGGGCGCCGGCACAATGTCCCTCTGTGCGCTCCCAGATGCTGACCGCCGCGGTGGACAGCGGCCCGGCCGCGGGCGCGGCGGGGCCGTGCCAGGCCCCTGCTGGCAGGGGACAATGTTGGCAGTGATGGAGAGTAGGTATTTCAAAAGGTTTTGTTTGGCGGCTGACCCGCCGGGCCGGCGTGACCCCGCCGCCCCCCCACCCACCCGGCCTCCTCCGTCCCAATAGAAACCGGCCACATTCCTGACCTCGGGGGGGAAAAGTTTAAAAACTCCTAGCGAGGAGACAATACCGGTGTCATGGCATTGATTTAGGAGGGACTCTTTCCATCACAAAGGCGAGACAAAGGCGCTCGGCGCTGGGAAAGGGCCTTCAGCTCCCGGCTCAGGAGCAGGGCTCCGTTATTGTGCGCCCGGAGCTCTCCTTACGGGCAGGGCGGGTGGCGAGAGGTCCCACTGGGTCCTGCTGGCTCCTACCAAGTCCTATCAGGTCTCACCAGCTCCTGCCAGGTCCTACTGGCTCCTCCAGATCTATCAGGTCTCACCAGGTCCCACTGTATCCCACCACTTTGGATCCCAACTGGATCTACMATGTCCTCTCAGGTTGCACAAGATCCCGATGAGCCCCACCAAGTCCCAGTGGCTCCTACCAGGTCCCATGAGGTCCCACTGGGTTCCACTAGGTCCTACAGGCTCCTATCAGGAGCTCCTACTACGTTTCACCAGGTTTTACTAGGTACCACCRGGTGCCATTGGGTTGTACTGAGTCCTGTTGGATCCTATTGGGTCTTATCAGGTCCCACCAGGTGCCACTAGGTTGCACAGGCTCCCAGCAGATCCTACCAGTTCCTATCATGTTCCACCACATCCCAGCAGGTCTCACTGTGTCCCAGCCCATCCTGCCGGGTCCCAGCAGCTGCTATCCCAACCCTGTCACCCACCCCCAGCCCTCTCTGCCGTGGGTCCCCCAGGCACTGGGGCCAGTGTCTTCAGGGGGAGCCATCGTCCCCAGGGGGGACCCCGAGGCTCAGGGTGGGACATGGCTGTGACCTGAGTCCTGTTGGGCCGAGCCGAGGGCTCCCGGCCGCATCCCGGGCCCAATGGGGAGCTGGGGGCCACCGCAGCCTGGGGGCTTCAACCAGACCAGGGACCCACACGTCACCCTCGGACGTTCCCCACACCCCAGTGCCCAGCTCCGCTCACGGATGCCATCCTAGGGAACATCCAGAGCTGGGCACACGGTCGGGACACGCGGGTTGGAGGCCACCACACTTGCCACCACCTGCGCTGCCTTCCCGGGAGGGGACACGTGCAGCCCCGCTGTCCCCAGCCGCCCCCAGGGCAGCCCGGGGCCTGGCCACGAGGCCGGGCCGTGACTCCCGCTCTGTGCCCGGCTCAAAGGYGCTTTGTGCTCCCGCGGGCGCCCAGCGCCGCCAGCACCCGGCACCTCGGGCACCTGCTCCCGGCCCCGCGGCCCTCGCCCCTCCGCCGGGGAGGCCCGGGCACGGCCGGGCCCGCGGCTCCCACTTACGGTGCGGCCGCCGCGGAGCTCGCCGCTCGTCCCCGCACCGCGTCCCGGCGCCGCCGCGCTCCGACGCCGCTCCGCGAGCTGCCTTTCATTTTATTATTTTAGCAGGAGAAATATTTTTCTCCCGGCGCAGGACGGCACTTCCGAAGCTGGAAACAAGTTCATTGGCTTTTTTTATTTGCGCTCGCTCTCCCTCTCCCTCCTTGCCCTAATTTCGCGTTTTTCCTGGCAGCCTCGGGGAGACGGGAGCTGGCGAGCGGCGGCCGCGGCGCTGGAGGCGGCTCCGCGCGCCGGGACGGCCGGCAGGGCGCCCGCGTCCCCCCGGGTCCCGGGGTGACCCCGCACCGCGTGCAGGACACAGCGTGGAGCGTGGCGGGCGACACGGGAACCCACTGACATCACGTTGGGTTTCTCTTTATTTCTCTCTTTTTTCCTTTCTTTTCCAGGATGAAATTGAATTTGCAGGCGACTTCCGCCGCGGGCAAAGCCTCTGGCCGGCGCTTCGCAAGCCACGCGAGGGGCCGGGCCTGGCCCACCCCCCTGCTCGGGGTGCAGAGACCCCGGGGATTTCATTGCAGCCCGCGGGCGCTATCCCGCCCGGCGCCCRGTCCAGGGGCACCCCGGGGGCCGCGGGACTGCAGCTCCCCGACCTCCACCGCTCCTTTCCACTCATCCCCCTTAATTTTGTTTAGAAACTTGTCAGGCCGCCGCATAAAGGAGGGGGGCAAGATCAAGCCGAGCTTTTCATCAGTGTGGGAAAAAGTATYGCGCTAATCCATATTTATTGGTGTAAGGAGCCGGGGGGGATGAGCGGTACCCTAATGGTCAGGAGCAAGGGACAGAAGGGACAGTTTAAGGCTGCCCTTTGCACAGAGGTCACATGTCACCAAAAATCTTTTGGTTGTCTCGGGATTGGTTACATTCTGTTCTCTTTTTTTTCTCTCTCTCTTTTTTTTTTTTTCCGATCGACGTTGCCAAGCAACTGGCTAAGACCGGCCAAGATATTTTCTTTATTACAAGTGGAGCAGAAAGCAGCAAGGAGAGAAAGATAAAAAAAAAAATAAAGAAAAGGAAAAAAAAAAAAAAGGAGAGGGAGAGAGAAGTTTAGACAATTAACATTTATAGGATCACATAACTTCATTAACTCAGCCGAGATTTGGGGGAGAGGAAAACACAAGGCGGCGGCGGCGGGCGAGTTAAAGCAAGTGCAGAGGGTGGCAGGTCTAGCGGCCGCAGCAGCGCCCGGGTGGCCGGGGCGGCCGGGGCTGCCCCCACGGGACGTCTCCCATGTCCCTGCGGCGCAAGGTCCAGGCGACCCCTTGGAAGCAGCTCGGGGCCCTGGGGTGTCGCCGGGGCTTTATTTCTCTTTGTGTTCTTCCCCCAGACGCCGMCGTGGTTTGGTTCCCTCGCGCTCTGAGGAAACGGGGCTGTTATTAATAAGGACGCGAGGAGCCGCAGGGCGGCGGGAGGCGCCCGTGGAGCCGCCGGCCTCCGCTCGCACCGTGCGGCGGCTCCTCCGGCGGCTCCGCGCGCCCCGTGTCCCCGCGCTGTCACCTCCCCGCAGGTGCCCGGCTTCYAAGGAGCCCCCGGGGTGGCGGGGAGTGACTTCCATGGAGAAGCTTCCCTGACTCCGGGCCGGCCCCAGCTCGGGAATTCCCGTCCCCAGCCCTGGGACGCGGGCCCTGCTGGTGCCCCGGCCTGGGGGGACCCACAGAGCCAAGGGTTTGCCTGGTGCCCGAGGACACGGGTCACCCCTGGGAGCCCCATCCTGTGCCCGGCGCTCCCTGTGGATGGGAACACCGGGGCTGTCGCTCCAAGGATGCTCTGAGCACCCTTGGGGCTGCAGTGCTGAGGAGCTGGGACCAAGCAAGGAAGGGCAGGGACCCCCCAGCGCCCCCCGCAGGACCCTCCGGCCCCCTTGGTGACCCTCTGAGCGCCAAGGGCTGGTGCTGGGTGCTGCGGGGTGAAGGAAGGGGGCAGCCCCCGGGGGACTGCAGGACCCTGGGCCCCCCTGCAGGCCAAGTCTGGGGCCTGGGGGCCCTGGGGACCCTGGGGAGCACCCAGCCCGGAGCCCTCTGCTGCAAGTCGGTCCCATCGATCAGGGGACACAACGAGCGGGGGTCTCCCCACAGCCCCCTCCTGCCATGGGGCACTGAGCGGGGGGCAGGTGAGCCCAGCCCCCCGGGGGACCCTGGCAYGATGCCCCCCACGCAGGCAGTGCCACCCCGTCACCCACAGCAGGGGCAGCCCCGGGAGCGCCCAGGACAGGGGCGGTGACGGGGAGGGGGGTCCCGGCGGGCCCCCGGGCTGCGGGTGCCGAAGCGGGGGGCAGCGCGGGGAGCAGCGGGCGCGGGGCCCCCCCGGGCGGCGGGCCGGGGCTCGAGGGGAGCTGTGTCTTTAAGAGATGGCTGGCTCCAGGTTGCAGCTGCTGTTTCTGTGCTATAGAGACAGTGGAGATTCATTACTCCTAAAACACAATGGGCATTTATCACCCCGTGGTGTTATTCAAATCCAGTACCAATTGAAGGTCATCCCCATTCTTTTCTCGCCGGCTCTGCAACACATTTATTGTTGCGCCGTTCAACTCAAAAGCCCCGGCCGGCCCCGGCGCAGCCCGCAGAGCCGCGGCGGGCGCAGCGCTCGCGGCGGCCTCGGGAGCCCGGGGC